AATTTATATAGAGCCAAGGCTCTAAACAATCAAATTAGAACCCACTTTAAAAATTTCACTAGAAGAGGTTGTTTTGATGCCCAAATATCCTCGAATTGATCATCTCAACATCAACATGCATGGACATGAGAAAAAAATGGATTTCAAGTTTTGGAAATAGTACATCTACTCATGCATTTTTGGACTGTCAATTTCTAAGATTTTCATGTTTTCATAGACCTACTCGATCTACATGCTTTTTTGAAGTTTTAAATTTTATATTAAAGATGAAAATATATTTTAAGGCTATCACAAAGATTTCCAGCATTGAAACCGCATTTCTTGACACTATTTAAAGGTGTGTTTTACTTTGATTGTTGGATCCTCGGCTCTATACAAACCATTCCCATATTTATTTTATTCATTTATTTTCAAAATATATAATATATTATAAAAAAATTCTACTTTGTTTAACCCGTCCGACTACTCGAAACCAATCAAACATGTATTTTGACTAGTTTTTTACTAAACACAGTTTCAACTTTGGACATGACTGTCTTACGCACCAGTTGGCAATCTGAGTTCAACCGATCACACTGGCAGTCGGGTTCAGTTTTAATAACTATGCTTACAAGCTTTTTTTTTTCCCATAAATTTGGTTTTGTGGCTAAGGAAGTTACATCCCTAAAATTTGAGGCCCTAATATAATGCCCTAGATAGGGTGGGAAACCAAGAAGTAAATGCCTATTATATATATGCCCGAGCGGGAACATGATAATCTTTTAGGATTCTAAAGTGCACATACCCAAAAGTGCCTAATCACAAATCTGACGCACAAAAAGAAAATAAAATACAAGGAACATGATACCTTCTCTTTTCTAAGATAAGTCATTGATGAACTCATTCATGGACACTTACCTTGTGCATGCATCTCGACAACGACTTCCTAAGTCTCCATGATACTATTTTTTTTTGGTATGTTGTTTTAGTGCAAGTGTGGGTTCTTCTCTCTTTATGCATTTCTTTATGGGCCAGCACAAATGGATATTCCATATAGTTTTAATTAGCACCAAGGTTTTAAAAAAGGTCGATTTGGATCAAAACCAGCCAGAACCAGCCGATCAGGATCGGTAATGGTTGTGGATGAATCGGTTTTTGTGAAATATAGGGAACTAGCTAGTTTCCCCCATAACACAATCCATTCTTACAACCATTAGTTTTGTTAGAGAATCGTTCAGAAATGGCCTCATTTTTTTAAATTATTGTCAAAAAATTTAATGACATGTTTGGTAGACTGAATCGTCGATCTAGACCACTAATTCGTCGAACTAGATCATAAATCCGGATGCATGATCTAGGTAACCGCTTGATATTTTAAAACGCACCACAAGTAGCACCTTTAAGAATTAGAAAATTTTATGACAATATTTTAATTTGGTGAATTTTATTTTTTTGAAACGTGATCTTGGTGAGTATTTATGATCAAAGTTGTGCAACATTGTTATTACAATGGGACCCCTTGCAACACTTTTTAAGAAGTACGAGTTATTTCAAATGGAAGACTTAAAAGGACAAAAGGTAGACCCAAAAGAGCATGATTAGAAGTAGTGATAAAAGATATAGAGACTTATGGCCTCATTGAGAGTATGACCCTTGATAGAGCGGGCTGACAGACTATGATTCGTGTAGTCAACTAAAAATAATTAGAAAAAACCCATGATGATGATGAATTATTGCAATGGAAAGAAAAAAGTATGATGCACATTTGTAATATCAAAATTATAAAAAGATACAATGTTTAGAAAAATAAAATTAAAATATGGGATTAGGTAGGAATCGTCAAAATAGGACCATACGTTTAGTATATTTGGTGGGATAAATAAGTTTATTTTATATATTTTGTATTATTATACTTCCAATTTAATTGTCAAATAAAAATAGTTATTTTAGGAAGAGAGAGAAATTGAATTGGATTAAGAGCTAGGTTGCTTAGAGACTTCTACATTGTTGAGCCTCCTCAAGAGGCATAGACTCTAGGGAAAGGTTTCTATGCTTTCTCTACAGCATTGAAGTTCTATCCTCCCCTATCATGCAGCCGTCCAACTTTGATCAAGAGTGATCCGACGTCTCAAAGTATTTTATTTTTAGTTTTTTTATACAAATTGTATGAATATGAAATTTGGTACGTGTCATCTTCTCATTGGGGTGCACCTATAAAAAATATTAAAAATAATTTTTCGATAAAATATAATGATTAAAATACCGCTTAAATCTTTCAGGGGTATTTGTTCATTTTATTTTATTGGAAATAGTTTTTTATATTTTTCGCTAGTGTAAGTTTAATAAAAGAATGGACGTCCAAAATTTGGTGTAAAAATAGTTTATAAAAAAAAATTAAAAATAAAATAGTATAAAAATGTGACATTGTGCTTAAGGCAATCTTAACCCTCCATTTAAAATGGACGGTTGAATAAAAAGAAAGATAGAACTTTTATGCTAAGGGAAGCATAAAAAAACTTATCCCAAACTCTAAAGCTTCTTTTTTTCATATGGACGTACTCGAACTGACTGCCATGTGTCTCCATTGTTAACGTTTACTTAGTGTATCAAGAATAGATATTTCCAATAAAATAATTCAATTAAGTACAGCAACTCGTTTTCCCGTTCAATAGGTCCACAAAGATTGGTCGCGGAAGATTTAATGGTAGGGATTGGATCAGCTTCTTATAATGCAAGGGGTCAGCTTAAGTCATATTACAATCAAGAGATGGGATAACATTGTGTCAATATATCACTAATATTGTCAGGCAGAATATTAAAAAATTATAAATTTGAATTGTGAAAGGCTGAAACGGAAAAAGTCTCTTAAAAAATTATAAATTTGAATTCAACTTTAGCCATTAGATTGTAGTTGATCTAATGGCTTAAATTATGTGTTGACTTCAACCTCAGCTGTAGGATTATGTTGATCTAATAGCTTAAATTATGACAACGCATCATTGCATCATATTATAGTGCAACCGTTGCATAGATCACTTCTCAAATGTAGATTTATAATTAGTCAACAAAAAAACAAGGGAATTGAAACTTGCCTTTCATCATCACCATTGTCAAAGCTTTTTGACTAATTAGGGTCAGCCTCATGAATTATGATCCGTCATTCTGCTCGATTAATGATCGTACCCTCAGTGAGGCCATAAGTTCATATATATTTTCTCACTACTTTCAACCATGTCCTTTTGAACCTGCCCCTTGCTATGTTCAAACAATCTCATTACTATGTTATTAGTATCGTTACGATTGGGAACTGAAGAACCATTTAGCAATGTTTATATTATTTGAAGAACCATTTCGCAGTGTTTATATTATTTATACAACTCTTATTTAGCAATATTTACTAGCTTCATGGTGAACTTTAATAAGGTTGATGGTTAACCAATCAAAGTAAGGTGCACCTGCAAATGACGGTGGAAGATGTTGTTTCGGTATCGAAACATCGAAAATTCTTATGATGGTCCAAAAATCTATTTTCTCTCTACTTATGAAATTTAAAGCTTCAAAAAATAAAGTGTAGATCTAGCATATCTACAAACACTTGAAAATTTAAAAAATAAACAGTTCAAATAAAACATTACAAGATGCACTATTTTATTGTTCAAAAAAAAATTTATTTTTATATCTATATATCTTGAGGTCGAGATGATCAATTGGAGAGTTTTTTTTAATAATAGAATGGCATTTCTCAATGAGTTTTTCAAGTGCACCTTACTTGTATAGCATGAGGTGGACACTTTTTTAAACTTTTTCCCTTTTTGCATCATTCTTAATACAAGATACCTACCATACAGCAAAATGAAAATATACTTATATAAACTAAATAATTTATTCATGAAATGTAAATATTATCTAAATAAGGTTATCGAAGTGAATATGAGACTATGAGATCCTCTCACACTTATGTGAGTAGGATTTCAAAGGATCACTATTAAATTTTGACATAAATATCTAGAAAAGTTATGACATGGGTGTGGGACATGGATGAATAGGTTTATTGATAACTTTTCTAGAAATCTGTGTGAAATTTTAATGATAATCATTTGGGATCCTACTCACATGGATGTGGAAGGGTCTCATAGTATCATTACTCTTTTATGAATCTTGAATTTAGTCATTTAATATCTTAAAATACGAAATAGCAAAAGGTTTTGCTTCGTATAAGGCCTAGGCCCTAAACAATTAAAGTAAAGCGTGCCTTCAAATAGTATTGAGAGATGCTATTTTAATATTTGAAATCTTTATAATAGCTTGAAATTTTATTTTTATCTTTAATTATAAAATTTAAAGTTTAAAAAATAGTGTAGATCGAACAAATTTATGAGCACTTAAAAATTGATGGTCCGAAAATGTGTTTCAAGATGCGTGATTTTCGAGACTTAAAATCCATTTTTCCTCTTATGTATAGATCTTGAGGTCAAAACAACTACTTTTAGTAAATTCTTAAGGTTAAAATGAACAATTTTTGGATTTTTGGGCTTCAAAAGAACTACTTATATAAAAAAAAAATTATTAGGGCCTTAATTTGATAGTTCAGGGCCGCGCCCTTATATAAAATTTTTCCATAATGAAATTATTGACACACTTGACCTCCTTACAGTTAGTTACAACTAGTCTATTTTTGCAGCCATTAAAATTGCTCTTTTTCCAACTTTTATTACACGTAGAGCACACGTGTCTATCTAGGGAGAAAGACCTAGACACGTGTGTAGTGCAAATGAAAGCATTGATGATTTATTCCCTTCAGTTGCTCTGTGTGAGCAGTTGCCTTTTTTCACCAAAAACCATGGCCAAATTTAGAGGATTCCTGAAATTCCTCATGTTCTTCCTTTTAATTGCGTCTCTAATTTTAGTCACAATTGTGGGTTGTGAAAAAGAAGAGAAATTGGAGAATCAGAGGCCAAATGCAGCAGAAAGAGCAATAGGAATAACCTCTCATAGTAGCCATTGGAACAAGGTCAGATCATGGATAAATTTAGCTTGGCACAAATTACCATTGAGCCCACCAAGTCCAGAGTAAGTAAAAACTACAATGTCTTTTTCTTTTTTTCTTTTTTCTTTTTTTTTGTGGGCTCTTGGTCCATTTAATTTTTGGAAGTAGATATCCTTTAGAAATGTGGATGTGTTTTTTTTTATTCGGAGTTTTATTAGTTTAGAAGAAAGAATTTATTGGTTTTTTTGGTATCGTTAATGGATCTTTGAATTTGGGGAGAGGGGCCGATAGAAATGTGTAGCATGCACCATCTGTGGGTATGAGGCGGAGGCTTCGACTGCAAATATGGATGGTGGAGATTACTTGTCGTTCCAGATTATGGACTTTCTCTTGGGTAGTTTCCATATCAATGATGAATGGTGGAGATCACTGTCTCACAACTCTCGCCCAAGAAATCAACCTCGGCTTAAGACAGTTTGGGAGCCAACTCGGCTGTATTTAAAAAGAATAAAAATGCAATTTTGTTAACAAAACTTAATTGAATGATTTAAAGATATGCTTTTAGATCATTTATATGGCCATTATAATGCTCTGGGAGGTTCTCTCTCAAATTTATATCATTTATATGGCCTTTATAATGATTTGGGAGGTTCTCTTTCAAAATACTTCAATTTTTATTTTTCTAAATATTTCAAGGTATAAACCAAATTTTTTATAATCCATCTCTTATATAAATTTTGGACTTTCATAGACTTGTAATGAATTTTACAACTTATTTAATGTTTTCCTTATTTTTAATGATTTTTATCTATTCCTTTACTTCTTTTTTTAAAAAACGTTTTTAACCCTTAATGACGTGCACTATGTTGCCGAGTCCACTCGGACTCGGCCGAGTTACTCGTTTCGGCCTAGTGGCAAGTAAATACTTCGTTAATTATAGTTACTGGTTATAGATATCTATCATGAGATAGAATTGTTAATATCAATCATGGGAATGAACAATGGATGGCCCATGCTGTACCATATATTGTGCAGTGTAGTTACAAGTTACAACCTACTTTTCCATGGGCTTCTCTTTATATGTACATAAAGCTTGAATTTAGTATTGGAAATGTACGCAATAAGGCTACTTATTTTTTTGTATAAGAAGGACACATTGAATTTAGGATTGGAAATATTCACAATAAGACTACTTATTTTTTTGTATAAGAAGGACACATCGTTAGCTGTAAAATTAGGTGGTTGAGGGTGTGTCATTGACCCGACAAAAAGCCAAGTATATCTTCTCAAACTATCTGACACTTTTAAGCTATCGGATTTCACATCAAATAGCTAAGAGTGATTTTGACATCCTTGTACCAAAAGTAAATGGTCTTATAGTATACAATCCATTAAATGTTTGAACTTGCTGATTTGTTCTTCTTGTAGTCCCACTATTCCTCTCCAAGCATCCAAACAAATTAGGCCTACTATGTGGGCTAGGTCAGGATGGCTTGCCAGCTTCTATGTTGGGTCTAGTAAGCTCGAAGCAAGGAAGCAATGTTGGATCCTCATGTAGAGTTTTCAGGAACCCTTACCTTGCGGAATTGAAAATATCAAATACAGGATCCCACCCAAGATCGTGTACATGTTTGGTTAAATACGAAGTAGATAAATATAACTATCAATCGAGTGCAAAAAATAAAGCTAACATAAAAAAACACATCACAACAACACACAATTTATGTGGTTCACCTTGTAGAGTTACATCCATGGCCTCAACAAGTAGAAACCTATTAACACAATGAATATTATAGTTTTGGGTTACATGAGATATATTTCTATCTAAACATCAGTAAAAACGCCTCACCAATCTTTTCTAAACCCGCCCTCCCGAGCAAGCAACACCGTTGATCAGTATCTTTTTTCCTACTACAATACTGCTATCAGAAAGATAACTTTGAGAGCAACAAAGAAACACACTCTCTCTCTAGAAGTGAAAACTAAATCAACTTAAAACTTTATGGGTATACCGCCTCTTTCTAAGAAGTCATTTCTCTCTCGATTAGAAACTCGTCTCCTCTCTGGATATCCATTCCCATAACCCCCAAAGGGGTGACTATCAAAAGGATGAGTATCATGCCTTTCTCGATCCCCTCTTATAGAGATTATTTGAGCTTCTTTCTTGCTATCCAAGAAACCCCTTCTCTTTTTACCACAATATCCTTAATTTTTTAATAAAAACATAAGTATAGTGATTTCGACTATCACTAAACCGAACACCTCAATCATATAAATCAGGTTGGCCTGGGCCACAAATGTAGTTCACTTTTCGGGATGAGCTCGCATCAAATCTCACCCAACCCAAACTTGTGGGTAGCCCTAAAACAAATAAGAAGTATGCATTTCTTAAAAGTGAAACATAGCCATGTAAAAATTGATGAAATCTAGCAAGTAAAATGATAAACTATAATCCAAGCTCCATGGTCCATACAAAAGGACATTGGACGCAGATGGAGAGCATGCTGCAAGTTGTCCATGAGTATATTAGTGCCTCCCATCCATGGGAATAGGGAGACTCAATTGTTCCATGCTTCTTAGAGGTAATGGTGCATGCTATTCAATTGTTTTCATGCTTTATGGAAGTGCCATATACTTTTTAACTATTCTTGTGTATTCTAGGCTTTTTCTTTATTTTTGAAGATGAGTTCTACATCATGCTACCACGACACTTCACCTTTTGGCTAGTGTAACGTATCAACGCTTAGGATACCATTAGTGAGCATTATTAGCAACCCCCATCCATCGGAGTGGGTATGGAATACTCATTCGGTTCTGTGATCTTTGGAGGTAATAGGGCGTATTAGCACTTGCTCTCCATTAGTGCATAGAGTACTTAATTGTTTGCTTGCTTTCTGGAGGTACTACATTGGTTGTCCGCATTTACGCTTGAGCCTTTCTTTACTTCTGAATATGTATCCTAGAAAGCTTTGGCAGGTGTCATGGGCTAACACTTCTAAGCATACGCTTAGTGATCATATTAGCACCTCCTGCTTGTTGGAGTTTTGAGTATGGACCATCGGAGTTGGAATATGGATTATTCACTAGTTTTCATGCTTCGTAGAGGTAATGGAGTGTATAAGCACTTCTCCTCCATTCGAGTATGAAGAACTCAATTGTTTCCCTTGTTTCTAGAGGTACTAGATATGTTCTTCACATGTAATCTAGAGCATTACTTTTCGAAACGATTGAAGTGTCACGTCAACACACTTGGGTGTACAAAGAACACTTAAAAATGGTGGAGGGGCTCATGATAGGGTTTGTTGCCCGACTTCATCCTATTGCTAGTGCTGTGTTGACACCCGAAGACATTATTTCACCTTCGCCAATTGGGTCGTAGGTACCTGGCATATTCATAACTAACAATTTTCCACAAAGTGGTGACAAATACAAATCTTTCCATTTTCCAACTTGATCTGATCCATTCATTCGTATAGCTATTTATTCGATGGAAGACACGTCTAGAACACTTGTGATAGAGGAACAAAGAGTCAATTTTGAAGGAATTTATTGTCATCCTCTTCCAGATTTTATCTGATTAAAAAAGGAAGAGTAAACATGTCAATATTGATAGACCAATAATCATAATCCTTGAATTGAATTACAATACGTGAGTTTTTTTTATTTCTTATCTCTTTTTTTCATACTTATTCATTGATATCAAATATTTCAAATTTACTGAATTTGAATAATTTTATATACATATTTATTTGCATATATTATATTTACTTAATAGACCTTTCATTTGATATTTATTTAATTGATACTTGAATATTTTAATTATTTTAATATTTTATATACTTTTAAACCTTGAATACCTCTATTCTAATTTATTATTATTAAATATTATTTATTATGAAATTAATATTATGATTTTTTTTCAACTATTAGGTATTAGGAATTGAATACCGCTTTCAAATAAAATAATTGATTTAAATATTTCAATTATATATTAGATTATTCCATTCTATTTTTATAGATTTTTTATTAAAATGCAAAATATTTTTGATATACATTACATATTTTGGAGCGGCTCATGTTACAGTGGGTTTTGAACTCGAGCGTTCTTGGGCTCTAGGCTTGTGCTCTACCCCTTCCCCATCTAGTTCTGACATGGTATACCCCTTATTTCTTGGATGATGGATGATATTGAAAGGGAAATCATAATAAATATATAATTTAAGAAATTAGTATTTTGTTTCCAGATAATAATCAGTAATGTGTCTAACTGTATTGGCTTTTTAGGTAAAAGTCATTCACACCTTGAAGGCTAGTTAGAAACTAACACTCGTGATGGTCTTAAAACCCCTCTTACTTTGGGACGTGATGAAGTTCTTGGTTTTATATCTTATAAACATATCATGACTTGTGGTTCGAAACACATGTTTTCTAAGGTTTTTAAGGTCAACTAGCTCGTAAGTATGTATCTGCAAGACATATTATGCTATTTTTCATCACTGTTTTGAAATGTAGGCCACCTATAGAGCCACCACCATTGACGGCTGAAGATGTTGTCAAGGAAGCGGTCGCAAAGAGTTATGAGACGAGCAAAATGACTGCCGAAAATGCAGTTAAATTAGCAGGGGAAGCTATGCAAAAAACAGCAGAGAAAATGAAGAGAAGTGTGTCTAACGTTGACGGTGGAGATGAATCCGATTTGTGAATTCATCAAATCATATGCAGAGGTAGTTTAAGACGATGGCTCTCATCATCCTCTTTCTTGAAGGAAATTCTTTTTTTTTTTTTAACTTCATGTTTTTTTATGCACATATTTGGGTTCTTGTAATCAATCGGCTTTGGTTATTCCGAAACCGCCATAGTATCATGTTTTTAAAGTATTCTTTTTGGAATTAATTGTGTTTTATGTAATATGTCTTTGATTCCTGCAATTTAGATTCTTTTCTGTTAATTTCTTGTAGAATATTTTCTTTTCTTCTTTTTTTTTCAGTTTTTTTTTTTGCTCTCTTTACATGTTGTTGTTGTTGTGGTGTGAGGCTCTGATGAACTTTACTCTTTGATGATCTTGGAGCAAGTCACGTTACCATTGCTCAGATACAAGAGACTCATGGTGTGAGTAAGGTTTACAACAGGTCAAGCCAGCTTAATGGTCCAGCCTAGTGTATGGGCCAGGCACTCCTAAGCTTGAGGCCAGCCGGCCGGGATACTCATGGCGTTGGTAGGGTTGCCAACAGGTCAAGCCAGCTTTCAAGTCCAGCCTAGTGTCAGGCACTCCTGAACTTAGGCCAGCGAGCCAGAATGCAAAGGCCGTTTTTATTTTGGAAGGGGCATTAGCCACCTTTACCACTCAAGCCTAGCATGAACTTTTTACGATCCATGCATGTGGACTATATATGGTTCATGAACTAAATTTTTAAAGGGTTGTATGTAATGAGATCATTTATTTTTTGGAACAAAGAGATCATATTTATTTTTGGCCATTGGATGTGAATTTCAATATATGATAGTTGGCAATGTGTCAAAACATTCAAAAAAACATATTTTGGAATTATCCAAACAATTGACGCATCCTCAACTACATATTTTCAACCACGCGATTTTAAATTTAATTGATGATTGCGATCTTTTTGTATAAAAAGTAAATGTAAATGGTTGTGTTATATAAATTTTAAATTTTTAAAGTTCACAAATCATAAATTTTAGATTAAATATAGTAGAGTTATCAAGTTTGGATTAGTCGATTTATGCAAGCGAGTTGTGGGGATGCTCGAACCTTCAAATATCTTCAAATATTTGTACAGGGAGGCTAATGAGGGAGCTGATTAGCTTCAAATATTTGTACAGGGAGGCTAATGAGGGAGCTGATTTTTTAAGGGAGCCGATTTTGATTTTCTTGTTAATGAAGGAGCACAGGCTGATTGTATTTTCATTTATCATTTACCATTGTAGCGTAGTTGTTTTCCTATGATCAATAAAGTTACTTGCTGTTGTAAAAAAAGAAAAATTAGCAAATTTTTTTAATGTAATTTATATTTTTATAGTATTACTTATTTTTATATTTTTTAAAATTTAATCTAATCGGTAAGATAGGTTCTGATTTGATTCGACACTTCATCATTTTGATAGTATACAACAACTCGTATACAAAAGGGACAAAACGGAGAGGAGAGATCGGAGGGAGGAATCGTGTCTTTTTTTAGTTTTAGAGGCTTGAAAAAAAATGACAATGCATGTATAATAATCTTTAGTGGGTCAAATTTAATGCTCGGAGGTAAGATTTAAGATAATGATTTGGAGAGTTTAGGACGATTAAGATAGTATACCATGCACCAACTAGGTAGGTTTGGAATTTTTTATATTTGAAATTTTGAGAATCAACTAAGAATCACCAGATGATACTTTCTAAAAGATAAGACCTAAATTTTAAGTTTTCTAACACTAAAACTAATCTCACAGCAGAGAGAGAGAGAGAGAGCAGTTACCCACATTGTTAAACTAACCTCACAGCAGAGAGAGAGAACCCACCTTGTATGTTTACTAAACCTTCACATCGTATTTTTACTAAACTACCTTGACACTACTTAGATAGAAATGCCACATGTACTTTTGCTAAACGACCCTCAGACTAGAGAGACAAGAGAGTTGGGGGTAGAGAGAGTAAGAGAGGGTGGGTGGAGAGAGAGACTAAGAAAAGCATTTGTAGCATAGGATTTCAGCTGTGTAGAGAGGAAGAGGGCATTTTAGATCGAATTTTATTAATTTTTAAACTGGGATAAATGCAAGAAAAAATAGTGTTGGGTTTAAAGTATGATACTAAAAGTATCGGGGGTAGAATGTCTATAAAGTTGATTTTGCGTATCGATAATTTTCCCACTAAAAAATATTCAAATCAATCATCTCGACTTCAAGATGTATGAACATGAAAAAAATAGATTTCAAGTTCTTGAAAAAAAATGGATTTCAAGTCTTGGAAATAGTGCATTTGGTAATGTATTTTCTGGACCATCAATTTTCGAGATTGTTAAATCTCTACCTCAAGATGTATGAACATGAGGAAAAAAAAGATTTTTAAGTCTTGATAATAGTACATTTTGCAACGTATTTTCTGGACCTTCAATTTTCAAGATTATTAAGTATTTATAGATTCGGAAAGTATAAAATGAGACCATTTACCTAGAAGGTGGTCACAATAATCTTGACCATTACATGTGAAGTTTGGTAGCTGCAATTATTCCATTGAACAAACTCAACCTTCAAAATAAATTTTTTCGACCTTTGTGACACATCCAAGCTATCAAATTTCATATCAAATGGTTGTAAAGAATTGTGATCACCTTGTATCAAATGTGAATGGTCTCATTATATATAATCCCTTATAGATTTGCTAAGCCATGGTTCAAATAGACCACCATTCACCATGATCACGCCCACAAGATCAAGACCCTAGTCTCAGCTCTTAATCCTCCCTCTTAATCTCATCTCAAGAAACCTCCCTCTTCCCTCCGAGCGTTTTGATGGGTCAATTCCATCTATCATGGCAATGATGGGGAATGTGCTTTTCTCTCATCCGACTAGGTAAGGCTTTGATCTGGTTCACGTTTTGTTGGGCCTCTTTCATTTGGTTTAAATTTCAATAAATTATTGCGTATTTTTCATTTGGTTTGAATTATCTTTGGTAGAAGGTGGTTACAATTAATCTTGACCATTGGATGTGAAATTGGGTGGCTACTTAATGTATTGACCAAGCTCAAAGTTCAAAAAAATCTTTTTCGAACTTTATGACGCATCCAAGCTATATGATTTCACATTTGATGGTTATAAATAATTGTGACCTCCTTATATAAAAAGTAAGTGGTGTCATTGTATACAATCCCTTTCAATAAATAAGACGATGTGGGGTTGAACATGGAGCCTAACCCTCTCACGAAATCGCTTAGTGTAATCCTCTAAAACTCAGCAGCTCGTCTGATATTTTATAAATTCATCTCAACCGATTGAAATGCGGGTCCAATCGACATGATAACAACTCTCCTTCGAAATTAGCTCTATGAAAACTCAAAGAGCTTAATGATCAGGTCAAGACTCAGGCAGCTTGTCTAATAACAAGTTGGAAATTCCCTATTGAAATGATCTTGAAGAGTCAAGCTAATATGCAGTGAAATGGAGAGGAGACATGAAAGGTGGATTAGAGACGAGGGAGGGTTTAGAACGACTGAAAATACTCTGCATAGATTGAGGTACAGCCATACCAAGAAATATTCTTTCATCACTCATCTCCCACTTTTTCATCCATTTAGCATGTGGTCATGACAACAGTGATAAAAAGCTAAATAATAATAAATTTACAGTAAGAAGCTAGTACTTAACCGTTTATATCTAAAGATTCATAAATTATGTACCTTTTCAGTTTTTTAGATCCATCATCATAATTAGAGCCATTTTCTCAACTTTTTGAGATCCATCATCATAATTGGAGTCTTTTTTTCAAATTTTTGCAATCGGCTACATGAATCCTACTCAGCCATTCTACTCTATCAAGGGCCCACATACTCATTTAGGTCATCAGTCTTCATATTTTTTTCTCATTATTTTCAATCATGTCCTTTTGGACCTACCCCTTGCTTGAGTTGGATCTACACTACACATACCCAGCCCACTAAATCTACTTTCTCTCATCTTTTGTCGATACCTAAGTTCTTCTGAATGTATTCTTTTCGAATTCTATTAATATATGGGTTCAAATTTTGGCTGAACCCGAGTCGGGATTACCTATTGGGTATGGGTCTCATACCCCTAACATCAATCTTTGTGAGAAAATGTATTTATGTATCTTGGACCTTAAGACACCATGGAAGATGTATTTCAAAGCTTATCTAAGATGTAAACAAGAGCCGCAATTTATAAGGTTATAAAGCTATGTATTACTAAAGAAAATAACATATATAATGAACTACTTTCCTAATATACGTACACATAAAAGGAATAAAAATATTATACTAAAAAATAAGTGCAGGTTTCTATAATTTCCACACTCCCTCTCAGATTCAAGATGAGTTAAGCAAAAGCAATTTGAGTTTGGACAAGTGAAGGCAGGCCTTAGAAACAAGGCAGGAACAAAAGAAGCTTGAAATTAGCGATCCTCAGAAACCGACGCCTCGAACAAAGGCGTCTCGCACAACAACAAACCAATAGGCGGCCTCCAAAATCGATATGATCGAGTAACGAAAAAAACTCGATAATCACACAGGTTGGAGTAACGGAAAACTCTATCATCCAATAGGATTGAGTAACGGAAAATTCAATCATTAAACATGATCGAGTAGCAGAAAACTTGATCATTAACTAAGATCAAGAAATTCGATCATCAAACAGGAGGTACTTGGAAGAGTCAACAGAAATCAACAGTAGATCAACAAGCATAGTTGGACCTTAGATTAGGAGTTGAGAACAGTAAGATCCAAAACAGATCAGAGAGTCGAAACACAACTCAATAGAAAGACAGATTAGAGAGTCGAAACACCACTCGGTGGTTGTTTTGCAAATGGTGTAGATGGGCCGTTTTTATAGGTGGATTTAGCTGATGACTTAAGACCACAATAACACAGTCTTTTTTGTTTTTTGGGTAGTGGATTCTGAACAAGATTAGACTTGAGATGCAAAAAGCAAAATGAAATCTACCAAAAAAAAAGAAAGTAGAAAGAAACTCACCCCTGCCCACTACGTCGACAAATTCATAGAAGAACCCTACATCTTCTTCACACAAGAAAATCCTACATCTTCACACAGAATGATCAATAAGAAAGAGACAGTAAGAGTGAGTGTTTTAACAGGGAATTCAAAGGTGAACCACTCCATGACGTGCAAGGGGCACTTTGATCAGTTCCAGAGCAAATTCCACTAATATCGTCACACAAAAGCAACATGGGCATATGCATGTCAACGCTAACCCAAGGATCCATGCAACGATCCCAACAAGGGAAACCGAACTGAAAGCAAAACGAAGGGTAGGCCCAAAAGGAGGCCCAAAGGCTTCGGCTCACAATCGCACATCCTTCCTCTCTCTCCTCTTTCTCTATCTCTTGTGAGAACTAAATCAGATATTGACAGAAGAGAGAAAAGGACGTACCAGGTTAGAGAGAGAAATGCAAGTAAAGACAAAGAAGTTGAAGAGGCAAACACAAGGATCGATCAATCATGAAAAGGGAGAAATCCCGTAAATTTTCGGAACAAAAGTGAAGGCTCGATGCTGATAGGCTAGGAAAAGAGGTTACGACAATCTCATATCAGAAGTGCGAGCTCATATCTAAGATCAAAAAGGCTCTGATACTATAAATTTTATTTCTGTATATTTGGGCCTTAAGCATCCATATAAGATGTATTTCATTTCAGAGCTTATTGAAGATGAACAAGAGACCCAATTTATAGAGTTTGTGTACTACTAAAGAAAATAAGATATACAATAAACTACCTTCTGATACACATAAAAAATATATATATATTGTACCGTACCAAAAAAAATAAGTACATATTTCTATAATTTTCGCCACGTCCAATATACCCTTCCTCCCTCCCTCTCTCTCTCTCATCCCCGCCTAATTCAAACTGCCCACCTAAATAATAGAAAAACAACTCTCATTTCCTATCTTCCACTCCCTTCTCTATTCGGCCCCAATATTGACAGATAACCTTGGCCCAATATCTGTTTTTTCTCTTATTTAAATACCCCATTTTTCTCATTTAAAAACATGTGTGTAATATTTTTCGCTAGTGTGAGTTTAATAGAGAATCAGATGTCCAAAATTTGGTGTCAAAATAGTTTGTAAAAAAAAATTAAAAATAAAATAATGCTGATATTGCGGTTGGGACAATCTTAGCCCTCCATTTAGAATGAACGGTTAGAAAGCTTGCTCATCTACTTAATACCTCTATCACAACACAATCTATTAATACCTTTCTCTAATATCGGAAGAGACGCCATTTAAATCCTTAACTTCTCCACTATCACAACACAATCCACTAGTACCTCTAGCTAATATCGGAAGAGATACATTTCAAACCCTCAACTCCTTCACACACAATCCTCTATACATGAAGCTAATATCGGAAGAGATACCTCTCAAACCCTCAACTCCTCCACTATCCCAACACAATAATCCTCTATACATCAATGCTCACAGTATCACAACATAATGCTCTATACATCAATGTTCAACACTACAATAATCTATATATCAATGTTCCTCTCTCTTTAACATCGAAAGATATGCTCTTTCAAACCTTTTAACTCCTTCACTATCACACAACAGTCTTCTATACATCAATAGAAAGCAATATAGATGCTCTTTCAAACCTTTTAACTCCTCCACTATCACACAACAATCTTCTATACATCACTTGTAAACAATACAGTCCTCTACAGATTTATATACATCAATAGTAAACAACACAATCCTTGTATAGATATATACATCAATAGTAAACAATACAATCCTCTATACATCAATGGTGAATAGGTATATGCGACCCGCATCTTCCAGCTCACCCGCTAACTTGGCGATAAGTCGGAAGGAGTGGCTACTCCAAAAGCCGGAATCGGACAGCGAGACCATCGACTGGCTACTCCAAAAGGTAACCCATAAACCATTTTTGGGTTTTGGGGACCAGGCAGCACCACTTTCAACATTTGTTTCAACAGCCTAACAATAAATAAACATAAAAATTTCAAAAAATATCAAAGTATTCAGGATCGATTTTAAAAAATTTAAAATGCCATAGAAAATGTTTAGATATGAAAATTTACTTATTGATTCTCCATTCATCCAAGAATCCTTTAAATGATTGATGTAGTTGTTTTATCAGGGTAGACTATTTGTCACTACACTCTTATAATCACCCATTTTCAATTTTTGTCTCCTATTTTCAAATCTAGTCTCTTACATTTTCAAATCGAAGAGTCAAAAATGGATATAACATCTTTGTATTTTCTTTATAGACCATTTTAAATGTTATCTTTATAGATTATTCTTTTTTAAATAGTGGAAATGTAAACTTAGATGGGATAAGATGTTGAAAATAGTGGAAATGTAAACTTAAGATGTTAATAATAATGCATCGTTCAACCTATCTTTAAAAAAAAAACTCATAATTATTATTTTGTAGTGATTTTGGAATGTTTTCTGTTCACACAATTACCTCATTCTCCTATCCAAATAAAATAAAACAGATTGCATAGGTTTTGCCTTTCTATTATCGATCTCTCCCGATATGTCAATGGATTGTCTCAATTAAAATTTCTCAATAATAACTTAAAATACAGACAAAGATACCTCAATGAATTTCCTCAATTAAAATTTCGGGATATAACTTAAAATACGGACAAATACCCAAACAAAACTCATACATATTCTTGAAACAAATGAGACTCGTGCCATCTAAAATACTGTCAATATTCTTAAAACAAAAGAGACTCATGCTTTCTAATATGCAATGCCAGAAGCATGACTAAATCATGCAATGTATCCATGTAATTTGTACATATAATTTATATTTGGTGTATATGATGCTACAGCCTTTGGTACCCCTTACCCCTTCCCAACCGTCCAAGTAAACAATCGAGGGTAGGAATAAGTCTATTGGAGGACTTCAACCCCTGAAGGGGAGCAACGGCAACCATCTCTTGTTGACATCTGACACTCACGATTGTGCTAGCAAACTGTAGAAAACCACAACACTAGCAGCCAAAAAGTTCCTAGCTATATTCAACTTCCCACAAACCAGGGAAAGCATGAAAAACCTACCTTGTATACAGTACGCAATTACGCATACTATGCTCCTGAAGGAGCATACTGTACATTGACTCCCTCGGTCAAAAGAGAGGATTTTTTCAATTTGGAATTTCGAGAACCACCTAAGATCATTGGATCATTATTTTCAAAAGAAGAAAAATAGAATTTCAAGTTTTCTAATACTTTGATCTCACCTTTCAAGAATTGGATGGTTTCTGTTCAATCTTGATACATTATTTTTTTGAAGTGGATAGAGAGCGCAATTTGAAAAGGTTTTTTTATTGAGGTCAGTCTATGGGTTTGAAGAGGTTATATCCCCAACTCCTAGATTAAGTTCTATCACAGGGAGTAATAGACAGTATACTAGCATGAAATCTCTCAGCTATAATTAAATTTGGACCATGTTAAACTATAATATTGTTAGTGTACATGAATGTATATTTATAGTACCTAAATTCGTAAGAAAATTAGGAAAAAAACTGGTCCAACCTTGAGGGAGATCCAAACCCATTTTCAGATTCAATGTTTGGTTTGTACTTTGTAGAAATTAACATATATTGAACCCTAGAACAGATACTAACATTGGACAAAGACGTGAACATGCGGATTTGAATAAAATAAAATAGGAGGCAGAGATGAAATAGATCATTTTGTAAACAACATAGACAATGCAATGATTTTCAATTTGTATAATTGAAGCATACTGCCACAAAAGCACAACATGAACATTATCCCTTGGGGGGATTTTCTCCAATGCGAAATTCTAAGAACTTTTTTAGAATCATGAAATGAGTATTCTTTTCTAAAAGGAAAATTGTTTCATGCGGGATGGACCGTATTTCTACATATGCCATCCATAAAGGGCTAAAGCATTCATCTTAAAACATAGATGCAAGTAGGTGTTCTATTTAAAAACAATGGAAACTAACGGTTCAAATGTTTTTTTACTAGAATTATTATTTCTAATTTTTAAATTTATTTATTTATTCATATTCATGATCTCCATGTTAGAGATTACATGTCGTTAAAAATTAATTCTTAAAATCCATCTCAAAAATAGATTTATTAAGAGGTCTGCATTTCTACATATGCTGGCTTGACCGCATAAAAACCTGATCCTTTATGGAAAAATATATAATAAAACTGTTTTTTTAGATATATAAGGATATCGCAAACATTATTGCAGTCCCACAAAAATGACATCTAACAGCCCAAAAATTGCAGTCTCTGAGTAATCTTGGGTGATACTTTTTTCATGCGCACTTAGAGCTTTTTCCTTTTTTCTTTAAATAATAGGGGCCTGGAAATACCTTTAAACAGGGTCTTACCCCAGGGAGTGAGTGGAACATATGCTACCAGTGGAAGCATATAATCTTTGTAAAAAAGAAAAAAAAAAATAATGTAAATGCAGTTTAAAAAGTTTAAACAAAGTTTAGGATCCTCGAAACATTCTAAACGGCTATTGTAATACATTAAAAGGTTATATAATATGATTTTGGGAAGATTTGGCTGGAGTCGGACTCGGACTGGTCACTCTCCAGTACCGAGTTGAAACAGGAAAATTGGGTGCCCTGCCCTGATTTTAAAACAACAGCTCATAGCTTGTCATAATTTGTCAATTGTTATTAACAAACCCACTTTCTCCTACTCCATTATTGAAATAACTGTGAAAAGCATCAGTGACCAAGCACGAGAAAATGGATCCTTCACCTGTTTTGGAGTATACTATTGACAATGCAACCACTTGGCAAAAAAATTTCTTGCAAGTCGTGTGGAAGGGTTGCTTCCAAGCAGTTATAGACACAAAAGAATGAGAAGTTTGCTGAAAAACCAGTGTTGGTTTATAATGTCGAGAGTAGAGAAGAAGATAAGGAAGGAAGATATGCTCTTTCTACCTATATTGATAATTCTTGATAACAGTAGTTGAAGCCTCAAATAACACGAGCTGGCTTATAATTCTTCCAATTGCTATGAGACCACCAAGTGACGATGTTGATGATGAAGTTCCTGTAGCAGATAATTTTTAGGGATATGATGACTATGATAATGTCAATGATGGCATGTCCTTAGTGATCCGACCTTTGGAAGTTCTTGACGCCATTACAGATATCCTAAAGGAGGAGCATAGAAAAGAACTAGAGGAAAGGCTTGTTGGGAGCAAAATTCATAAATCCAAAAAGAGTAAAAGGCTTCAAAGAGAACTTGATAGTTTGGTATGTCATATTAACTATGATCACGGTGAGGTAAGTGCTGGTCCTTGTGCTCATTCTGAAACTTTGCTGCCTATGTTTGCTGGTCTTTTAAGGGTCACTAAACATAGAGAAGGTTACTAATCTGTATGAAAGTGTTATGTTGGTATGTCAGGGGCCTCAATAGTGCTCAACGCAAGAGAGATGTTCTTTCTTTTTGCAGAAAAGAAATGTCTGATCTCTTGCTTCTCTAGGAAACTAAATTGGAGGTCCCGACTCTTCGTCCTGCTAGATTGGTTTGGGGAAATAGCTCCCTAGATTTTTTTGGAAGTAGATGTTTCAGGTTCTTCTGGTGGTATTTGGGTCCTTTGGGACCCTTCAATTTTGAGTGCTTCACAAAACTTTCTTTCAAGTAGACACATTTCCATTGTTTTACAAGGGCCCTTAGATAATTTTTCCTGGTGTTTATTTGTGGAATATGCGCCTAACAGAGCTACTGACATATTTGCTTTTTTTGAGGAATTAGCAAATATTCAGTTAAATTTGAATGTGCCTTTGTTGGTTTGTGGTGATTTTAACAAATGGTCAAGTGAATCTACATCTTCTCCTTATATGTCTTCTTGTATGAGATTGTTTGAAGCTTTTATACAGCACCATGAATTGATTGATCTTCCTTCTGCAAGGGCTAACTATACCTGGTCCAATCATAATTTACAAGATCCTATTTTGACAAGGTTAGACATGTTTCTTGTCTCTTCTGAGTATATTACTCGTTTCGCAATAAGTGCGAAAGCCCTACCAAAAATTTCTTTTGATCATGTACCTCTTTTCCTTAACTCCAACGGTTTCTTGTCTGGACCATCCCCGTTTAGATTTGAATTAGTATGGCTGTCAGAGAGATCTTTACTCAGCATGATTGAAGATTTCTGGAAAAATACTACCATTGATGGTTGGAAAGGTTTCCAAATTTCAAAAAAGCTCCAATTATTTAAACAAATGATTATTACATGAAAGATGAATGTTTGAGGAGATTTACAATCTAAAATCAGGGCTGCAAAGTCTTCTATAGAGGAGGTAGATAATGTTCAATTTATGGGAGGTGCTCTAACACAAAATCAATTCAAAGAAAGAAGGTTATGGGTGGCTACGTATAAACAATTGTTTAATTTGGAGGAAATCCATTGGACATAAAGATCTCGTGTGAAATGGCTCAAGGAGGGTGATAAAAATACGTGATTCTTCTATGCTATTGCTAATGCAAAGAAATATGATAATCCAATTCAAAGCCTCTGTATTGAAGGAATAGACTGTGACAACATGTCAGAAGTTGAAAGGGCCCTGGTTGATTATTTCAAGAAGTCTTATGTGGTTGATTGTGGGCTTCAACTATTCATTCAAGATCTACCTTTTACTAGGTTGTCGTTAGAACAAGCTCAGTGGTTAAAGATAAAATTTAAAGATCAAGAAATCAAAGGTGTAGTCTTTGGCCTAGGCAGAGATAAAACTCCTGCCCCAGATGGATACCCAATGGCGTTTTTTCAATCTTTTTGGGATATTTTGAAAGATGATATTGTTCAATTATTGGAAGACTTTTATTGGAGGGGTAAAATTAATATTGCCATGAATTCCACTTTTATTGCTTTGATTCCAAAAAAAAAATGTCATTGCAGAGATCAAGGATATTCGGCCTATTAATCTTATTGGTAGTCTTTATAAAATCATAGCAAAGATTTTAGCTAATAGACTGCGTTAGGTGATTCATGTGGTTATTAAAGGACCACAATCATCATTCTTGAATGATAAGCAAATTATGGATAGTAGTTTGGTTGCATAAGAATGTATCCACTCAAGAATCAAAGATGACAAACCGCACCTTATTTGTCAGTTAGACTTTGAGAAAGCATATGATAAGGTTGATTAGGGGGTACTATAAAATATAATAGCTAAAATGGGTTTTCGTTCAAGGTGAAGATTGTGGATTGATGGTTGCATGCCTTCTACTCATTTTTCAATTTTTGTTAACAGTAAAGCAACTAGTTTTTTCAAAGGATTAAAAGGATTGAGACAAGGGGATCATCTTTTACCATTTTTATATACTTTGGTAGCTGAGAGCTTTAGTATCATGCTTAATGGATTGACACTGCAAAGGATCAAATCAGATGTTAATATTGGTAATAATGGTCTTACAGTATCATATTTATAGTATGCTGATGATACCATCATATTATGTGATCCTACGGTTAAGGAAATCACTTGGATATGGATTTTCTTGAAAAGTGTGGAACTCTCAACTGGACTTAAAGTTAATTTGAGTAAAACCAAGCTCATTGGTATTTGGCTGTCCGCAAATGGTAGTTTCAAGAATGGCACATTTATTAAGTTGTGGTGTTCAATCCTTACCTTGTACTTATTTGGGAATTCCTCTAGTGGATTCAAGGCCTTCAAGATCAATTTGGGATCCGGTGGTGGAGAGATTTGAAAAGAAACTGGACACTTGGAAAGCTAAAAATCTTTTTATGGGGGAAAGACATACGTTGATTAAATCCACTTTGTACAACCTCCCAGTATATTTTATATCATTATTTAAGATGCCAAAAGAAGTTGAAAAACAGCTAGAGAGAATTATGAGAAATTTCTTGTGGGGATATGACATAAGAAGGAAAATATTTCATCTGGTGAGCTAGGAAAAAATTTGTAGACCAATGAAGGAAGGGGGATTGGGTGTTAGGAGATTGAAACATATGAACTCGGCACTTTTAGTAAAATGGTGGTGGAGGATCCATACACAACCTAAGTCTTTCTGGGTGCTTGTTCTGAGAGATAAATATGGAATGGATTTGAACTTTGGCCCCATCAAAAGTCCCAGAAACAAAACAAGTTTGTCTCATGTTTGGAGAGGTATTGACTATGAGATATCTGTATATCTACGGCAATTCCGAGAAATAGTGGGGAATGGAGAATCAACTCGCTTTTGATTTGACAAATGGATTGGAGATGACCCGTTGAGATACATTTTCTCTGAGGTCTTCACAAAAGCTTTAAACTCACTAGCATCTGTCAAGGAGGCTAGTGGGGGTGTTTATACTAATATTATTTGGTCAATTCCTTGCAGGTACAGGAGATGTATAGACAGATTCATTTAGGAGTATCAGACATTGTTAGAATTATTATATGACACATATTTGACTCCAAATATGGATGATAGCTTTATTTGGGATCTTACCCCTTCGAGAGATTTTTCGGTTAAGTCAACCTACAATCTATTATTTTTCGATCGTTGGAGAGAGTCGGATGCTGGTTTATTCAAGATTAAGACATTGCATATGCCTCTTAAAAAGCAGCTTATCTTATGGATCCTGTGTCAAGATAAATTAGCAATTGTTGACAACTTGAGAAAAGGGGGGTTTATTATCACCAATATATGTATCCTATGCAAAGACAGGAATGAAACTTCGCAACATCTTTTCCTCTCATGCCCTTTTGTTACATATCTTTGGGATTGGGCTCGACAATGCCTCAATCTGTCATTACCTTTGCCCCAAACTGTTAGAGCTCTTATTGACCAATGGATCACACCTAATATTTCAAATATGGGAATTATTCTTTGGAGATCTATTTGGTTTATCCTTATTTGAAATATGTGGAAGGAAAGAAATAGAAGAGTATTTGATAGTATATCTACAGATCTATCTACACTAAAATCAAATATTTTGGCAATTGCAGCTGATTGGTTCCTTGCACATAAGGACAGTGGATTCATTCCTAAAAGTCTTCTTATTAGCAATCCCCTGACAATGACGACTATGAGTGTTACCACCAACACTCGTAGTGAGGTTGTTTGGATACCACCACCAGTAAATTCTTTCAAATTTAATTTTGATGGAAGTTCACTTGGCAATCTAGAGCTGGCTGGCTATGGTAGACTTATTAAAAATAATTTGGGTCACATTATATTTTCTTATTCGGGTCTTTGTGGTATCACAACAACAAATGAGGCAAAAGCACAAGGTTTATTCGAAGGTTTGAAATTGCTATGCACTTTGGAATGGGACAGGATTATCGAATGAGACTCGGCAAATGTCATTGCCAAGAGTAAGAGAAAGGCCCATATTCCTTGGAGATTAAGAACTATTTTTCATCAAATTTGAGATATTTTGTCAACCTCTATGAACAGTCCAACATTGTTATAGAGAAACGAATGAAGATGTTGATGTTCTTGCCAAAGGAGAAGTCCATACTCCCTCTCTATTGGTTACTTCATTTTTGTAATCTTGTATCTTTGCTTGAACATCTTGTATTTTACATATGAATTAATGATAAGTCGTATGTTACCGTTCAACAAAAAAAGAAAATACATTTCCTAAATCACTAACATGGCAATGATTTATGCATATAGTTAATATTATAGGAATAATGTTTTATCAGTAACTTTGAAGATAAATTGGTACAGATATTTATGCATATCAGTTAATGTTATACGAATATAATATTTTATCAATAATTTTGAGGATAAATTGGTACAAATAATTTTCCAGGACTCACTGAGACCATAACATCATAGATTCAAAATACATCTAGCAACGATTTCTTGAAAATAAAATCAAGCTTGATGATTAGTGAGCACTGTTTACTCCACAACAAAATGCAAAAAATTTCTCCAGTGATCCAAACTGTTGTTACCAGGATAGGAGAAGTCACCAAACTGATGAGGGGTATGGTACAATTGAAGACAGTCTGACCACCGTATGAAAGCGTTGGACGGTTTTTACTTTGGAGCATACCAACTAAAGCACTAATCGACAGTCCCGACTAGTCGAACCAGCTTGTCTCTTCCAATCTTAATCACTGTGATCCAAAGTGAAAGTACATAGGCAACTAAAATGTAAAACATAATGAGTGTGCAAATTAATCAAAACAATACGAGCTCCACATATCTGTTGACTTGAATCATAGCTGTTCAAAGTCCATCAGTAGTAGGTTTTGCATTAGGTGCATACAAAATTTTACTATCCAAAACAAAAAGATCCATGTCAAACGTATCTAATCGACTAATGGATCAGCAATAGCATCTCAATTAGTTTATTACATTAGCTTGGTGGTTATTATGCTCTCTTGTTTACCAGAACCCTAAAATATTAATGTTTTAGGGTCAATAGATTAGTATTAATGATAAAAAGTTAAAGATTACAGCAGAGTAATATAACTCTCCATAACACTATCACCATAAACTGCATCATCTTTCCCATCTCGAACGCTGAGCAAGCTGATCCAAAACAATCTCATGTCATCATCAGATACTTCACTTAAACAAGTGAATGTCATTGCACGCTTTAAGCTTTCACTATCAATGATAAAAAACTTGGATCAGGCACGGGACTTGGCAGCAGCCCCTGCCCAAATGAGTAATTCGGGCGAGTTCAAGTGGATCTGCCTGAATCATGTACATGCCCAATATTCCATCTTTCAATTTCTTCTCCTTTTCCATACGTTCCTAACCCCAATATCCCACTCATCCGACTAATCTGTCCCACACAAAACGCTTCCCATCTTCCTGCTCCCTTCTACAAAGAAGGCAGCACCAATTCTTAAAACCCATATACATCTAAAAGCTTTTTGTGCATTGCTATTCAAATGTGTCCCCTTCCAAAAATCCATCATAAAGATGGGTTTTCGATCTAGAATTTCACTTGCAAAAAATCTGAACCACCATGATCATGAATCATGAAAGATAAAAACAAAAACTTAAAAACAGATTAGCTTAAAAGAATAAAATAGATTAGCTTAAAAGAATAAAATAGATTAGCTTAAAAGAAATAAATTGAATGGTCCAGAAACAAAGTTTAAAATTACCTATTTTAAGACTAAGCTTTTTTATTTGTATATTCATGATTGTGTGGTCAATATTATTGACACGTTAAATTTTAGATCCAGAATCCATCTATAAGATGGATTTTGGATGGAGACCGCACTTGAATAGGGTTAATTGGCTGACGCCTA